ATGTTTTTTAAGGTGCGATATTTTTCTGATGTGTTAAATGTTACTTTTCTTTAAAGGAGGATGAATTTAACATATAAAACGTAAACATATATAGAAAGTTTTAACATCATAATTAATCGACAGTTTATACATCAACTTTATAATCAACATTTAACATTTTCCCATACGAAAAATGCAAATAAAAGATATGTAGACATGAGATAGGTAAATGTAAAAACATCATATACAGGTACATTTTCATCAATGAGGTTATACAACTACATGTTTTATGAAAATATACCTTAATATCATAAAATTGAAATTAAATAAAATCTTTTGAAATAAAAAGATTAAACAATGAATGCAACTTTAAATACATACACAAATAAATTTTAGTTTATTTAAAAGCATCATATTGCTACGTAAGCTGGTACATTGTAGGTGAAAGGTAAGAAAATATTTTATCTGGCGGCCGCCACATAATTATATGGCAGCCGCTAGAAAAATATATCTGGCGGCTGCCAAATAGTTTTCTTGCGGCCACAACATTAATAACTGGCGGCGACCAGAAACTTATCTGGCGACCGCCACATAAATAACTAGAAGCCGACAAATAAGTTTCTTGTGGTGTAGACATGTAATCTAATAAAAAAATAAATTTAAAGTTATGAGGTGAAGACCTTATGAAGTGAATTTTTGTATAAAGTGTAGATTTGATCTTTGCTAATAAGGCTTGAAACTCCCAGATTTGACTAAGTTGTTGATGTCGTTAAAACCCCTGTCACACCGGGACTGCGTCCTCACGGCGTCCATGAAAAATGCAAAACGCCGAGGTGAGCGCAGTAGAGTCTCCTACAGCGCCGTGACAACGCGGCGAGATCTCCACTGAACGCGGTAGGGTCGCGTAGGGTCTCCTAGAACGCCAGGGGACGGCGCGCACTTTGGACATGCACAAAGTACGCGCCGTGTGATCGCCGTCTGATAGGAACGCAGTAGAATCGTAGTATGATCGCCGTAGCAGCTCGGTGAGATCTCCAACAACGCAGTGGGAGCTCCGTACGCACGCCGTGAAGACGCACATGATCGCAGCATGAACGCAGTGATAGTAGACTGCGCTTCCACGGGGACCTCGCGGAGTCCTTGGAGATATCACGGCTTTCTATCGCGCTTTTACGGCGCTTCTAATGAGATTAATTGTCTTGTGATTTTTTTTGACTGCGAATACACAGCGACAACAAGGAGTTGTCACTGCGATCATTGCACTCCCTTGGCGTTTCTACCGCGTACGTTGGCGATCACAATGCGCTTTCATGGCGTTGTTTGCCAGCTCACAAAACAAGAGCAATGGCCTCATATTTGATCAGCAATAATTCTAACGTATTTGTTGCACTCCTGGCCAGGAGTATGGGAGTAGAATTGGCAAGTAAAAGTTACACCAGAACCTGTTCTGTTGTTTCAGTGAAGTTGCGATGGAATTACTTAAATTTTATAACAACTTTTTAGTGTGTTTATTTTTTACATTCATAATAAAATCAAAGAAAAAACACATCTGAATTGATATAATTGAAAAAGAAGGGTTTTAATTATAAAACTAACAGTAATTTAGTACTAAATTATTCACATATATCATTTTTGAAGTCTTTTCGTTATGTGACTCGAATCTTTAAAAAAAATGTGTTACACTCCTTCTGAATATATATCCATAGTGGAGAACGCATCGTGGACGTATTGTGAACGCAGCAAGCGCAGTGAGAACTCCGTAAAAGCTCCGCGGAAGCGCAGTCAATCGCGAAGAGATCTCCGTTGGGAACGCAGTAGCACGCCGCGAGAACGCCGTAGAAACGCGTGGGTCGCCGTAGGGACGCCCTGACATCTTCACATTGTAAAAATTTTACAGAAATTTGTGCGATTTCCGTGCGATTCCACTGCGATTTTAACATTTTTACAACGCCGTAATGACTCCGTGTGGACGCAGCTTGGTGTGACAGGGGCCTAAAGGCAGAGATTTTAAGCACCGCCTTCAAAAATAATTGGTCTGTGTACCTCTGTCAATCAAGAGCATTAAGGTATATCACTGGGTGCTACAACTTGACTGGCAAAAACACTACAATTTTATCTAGCGGTCGCTAGATATTTCAATGGCAGGCGCTAGAAACTTATCTGGCGACCGTCAGATAATACATTTTTTTACCTAGCACCTACCGGCTTCAGTATATTGCAATGTATTTGATAATTATGAAATGATTATATAATGATTATGAAATTAAGAAGTATTTGCCCACATAGATCAGCATTATATGTTTTCAGCATAACTGAGAGAATCCCAGCCAGGACTAATTTTCTCTCGCTTCCAAACTCTCCATAGATACTTAAGTTGCTTCACATTGATTTAGAGAGTTTTAGAATTCGTTATTTATGATTTGCTATACCAGAGCGCAGTTCAAAATACATGTGTAAACGCCAAAGATATGTGTTTAATCCTTAATCAGGCAGACATATGCGCCTAGACACCCAGACTTAAAACAACCCACGTTCCCTATATCAACCACACGGAAATATATGGGCACTTCTCTAGCATGTTGGAGCGTGGATTTCTATTAACAAGGAAATACATATTTGTTCAGTTAGTCGGAAAATGTAAGAAAGATCCAGCATCTGAACCATGCTTGGTAGTGAGCAATCCTAGATGCATCATCAGTGCAAGTTTGGTCACGATAGGGCTTATAGTTATGCAAGACCGATACCCGCTTCAAAATCTTTAACCTGCACACTCATTAAGGAAATGTAGGTCATATCCGGCATCTGAAGCAATCTAGTACTGTGCATCCGAAGATGCATCATGAAGCAAGTCTGGTCAACAAGTGCTTACAGATGCTCTCTCCGAAAATTTAAACCTGCTTTTAAAACATTTACCTGGACATTCTTTGGCTGAAAATCCAGCATCTGAAACCTGACTGGTGACAAGGAAACACGCCTGATCAGGTGACTCTGATTAATATCTATTAGGGCATACATAAATTTGAAAAAAAAAATCTTCTTCAAAACTTTAACCTGGAACACGGATGCCGACGGAATTACAAAAGTTCCCCCAACTTCGAGGAGGTGAGCTAAAAATGTGACGTTAACGTTATACTTTGGCGACAAAAGAGTATCGAAATGAAGACAGGATACGATAATGTTTTCTACTGTTAAAATAATCGAGAATCTTCTTTGATTTAAACAAATATGCTACTTCTGGCTAGGTATTTTAATACAGAGTCAGATCAAGAAACCAGGAGGTTCTAATTTTAGATATGCAAATTTTATGTAATTTTCAATTTTTGGATATGAAGTGCACACGCGACACTCATCATATTTCAAGAAATTAGTGTGCAGAGTATATCTAATTACTGAACAAATTTAGGTGAGTGTCCCTCATGCACTTCATATTCTAAACATCGATTTATAAATGCCACCCTCTTACATTTTCCCATAAGCCTAATGTTAACGGATTTGAGGATACATCTAAGTATGTATCAACTATGGTGTGAATTCATCTCATATTAACTTTTGAAATAAAAATAACAAAAGTTAACATATTTATCTTGAATTCTAAACTAGTTTTGAAAAAAGAAATTGAAATTTATTTTTATGAAAAAAGTGGGCCGCTGAGCGGCCTTATCGAAACTCCCCCTTTGCCCAGTGGTTCTGGAGAAGAAGTCGAAAATTTGAAAAGTTTACAGACAGACGGACTACAGACAAAATGTGATCAGAAAAGCTCACTTGAGCTTTCAGCTCAGGTGAGCTAAAAAAAAAGAAAGAAAAAGGAGAATGCATGTTAAAAATATATGACGGAAAAGGTGCAAATGAAACGATATAATAAGGCGAAGAATTTTTCCAAATCTGAAATTCTGTCCTGGAAAAAGACTGATGACTACATCTAATCAAATCACAAACTTGTAAGTACATGAAGTTATTCTCAATTCTGTGAAATGTAAAACACATATATATAATGGTTCCGCTTTTCGTCACTATCAACAAGAATTTTTTAATACATCTGAAAGTTATTTCAGGGTGGAGGTAAACAATGATCATATGAAGATTAAGATGAATACTACCTACCTATCGTTTCAGAATTAAAACCACTCCAGAAGACTGTTTTTTATATTTGGGTTATGTACCTGAGTCCTTTGCCTTTCCAATGACCTTTGACTGTACTATTTATTGTAGTTGTATAAAACTTAGAGAAACTAGTCATTATATATCCATCAAACCTCATACACTTGTTACTAAGCTGCCAGCCTTGACTCATAGTTCAGTGGCTCTCAGCCTTGACCCACAGTTTAGATGGCTCTCTGCCTTAACTCACAGTTCAGGTGGCCCTTAGCCTCGACCCACAGTTCAGGTGGCCTCCCAGTCTTGACTAACACTTCAGGTGGCTTTCAGCCCAAGAGAATCACTCAAACAAAAGACTTTTAAAAACCAATCCATCAAGCTCTCAGCATAACTAGCTACAATAACAATCCTGTAAATAAGACATATAATCACATATATAAAATAATTGAACATCAAATTATTACATGATTTTTAGCTCATCTGAGCTGAAAGCTCAAGTGAGCTATTCTGATCACAATTTGTGCGTAGTCCGTCTGTCTGTCCGTCCGTCTGTAAACTTGTCACATGTTTGACTTCTCCAACAAAACCACTGGGCCAATTTCAACCAAACTTGCCACAAAGCATCCTTGTTGAAGGGGACTCAAGTTGTTCAAATGAAGAACCATGCCTCATTCAAGGTGAGATAATTAAGAAATAGTGAAAATATGGTGGCATGTTTTAAAAATCATCTCAATAACCACTGGGTTGGGAAAGATAAAACTAATGTGGAAGCATCCTCGTGTAGTGTAGATTCAAGTTTGTTCAAATCAATACCCCCGGGGGTAGGGTGGGGGTATAATGCTCGAGCTATTGTCGTCACTCGGTTACACAGTCAAAAACCTGAACATCCAGAGAGTTTAGTTGAATGGGAAAAACGATGGGTACGTATGCGAAAAGGAGATTTTCAATCATCAGACCAGAAAAAGGAAGCTCTAGCTCTCATGGAACAAGCTGGCTGTGATATTCATCAGTCTTGTGGACCTGAAGAATGGGCGAAATTACAACAAGTGTTATATCCTCAACATCGACTGAAAATATTTCAGATCAAGTCTACCTCCTCCTCTAAACTCATTTTTGAGCCCATTTACAAAGGCTACGGAGACGGAATTTTTATAAATGTTCTGTTAAAAGATCATCATTATCATGCCATTTTATCCATGCCAGCTTTGACAGGGTGTCAATACTATTGTAATCATTGCGATGTGGGCTGCAGAAACATCACAGACCATCGATCCAAATGTCCTTTTCGATGTGATTTTTGTTTAGCGAACACCTCATGTCCTAATGACGGGAGCCAGATTACATGTGCTCATTGCCAAGGATTTTTTAAGAACAGACCTTGTTACGAAAATCATTTACGACCTTACAGTAAAAATACGACCACATCCATCTGCAATTTAATGGGACGATGCCAACAATGTGAGAAATGGCTGGCTAAAACTTTACTCGCTCATCACTTATGCGGAGGACAGAAACAATGTAAGATCTGTAAGAGAATCGTAGAAAATGATCATCAGTGCTACGTTCAACAGAAACCTCCCAAAAAGAAAGAAAAAGAGGAATTACAGTTTTACATTTATTTCGATTTCGAATGTATGCAGGAAAACGGTATTCACGTCCCTAATTTATGTGTGGCACATCGGGTCTGTCAACATTGTGGGCATTTACCCATTGAGGATCCTTGTCCTCATTGTCAACACATGGGACCCCGTCAACACGTGTTTCAAGGATCAAATACTTTAAAAGACTTCATGGACTGTTTATTACAAACCACCCCCAAAGGGAATAACCAATCTGTTTTTTTACACGACCAGGCCATCATCATTGCTCACAATTTCAAAGGATACGACGGACAGTTCATTTTAAATCACCTGGTGCATTCTGCTTGCATTAAACCCACCGTCATCCAGAACGGGAGTAAAATCTTATGCATGGAAATCTGTGGATTGAAATTCATCGATTCTTATGATTTTTTACCTTTTGCTCTGTCCAAGATGCCTTCCGCTTTCGGATTCACCGAAATGAAAAAAAGGGTATTGCCCTCACTTTTTCAATACGGTACAGAACCAGAATTACGTGGGACCTTATCCCCCTCCAGATCAATACAATCCGGACGACATGACTATTAGCGGACGACAAGCATTTTTTCAATGGTACGACCAACAAGCCGGAAAAGTGTTTGATTTCCAGAAGGAATTTTTAGAGTATTGTATTTCCGACGTCGATATTTTACGACGATGTTGTGCCCAGTTTAGAGCCACCCTCAAGAGTTTAGTGAATGTAGATCCCTTTCAGGAATCTATCACTTTTGCCAGTGCAGCCAATTTAGCTTACCGTCGAGGATTCATGCCCGAAGATACCATTGCCATCATTCCTAACCTGGGATATCAACCTGCTCGTCAATATTCGGCCAAAGCCTGTCGATGGTTAACCTGGTGGAGTCAAAAAACCGGATCTCACATCCAACATGCGAGAAACGAAGGAGAACTCAAGATCGGAAATTATACTGTAGACGGATACCAGAAAGATACTTGCACCGTCTATGAATTTTTTGGATGTTATTGGCACGGATGTCCCACCTGCTATCCCAAGCTACAGACCGAAACTCATCCTCACCGGACTCAATATACTTACCAACAATTATATGAAGAAACTTTAAGAAGGAAATCGGTTTTAGAGGAAATGGGGTATTCCGTACATAGTATCTGGGAGCATGAATTTGATGAACAAGTGCAAGGAAACAAGGTTTTACAGAATTATTTATCAACCCTAAACATACCAGATCCTTTAAACCCCCGAGAGGCTTTGTACGGAGGTCGGACCAATGCGACTAAATTATTTTGTGAGGAAGGAGATATGAGATACATAGACGTGTGTTCTCTCTATCCTTACGTGTTAAAACACAGAGCTTTTCCTGTAGGGCATCCTCAGATCATTACCGACCAATTCCAGGACGTCCGATCTTATTTCGGACTCATTCACTGCAGGGTCTTACCACCTCGAGGCCTCTATCACCCGGTTTTACCTTATCGCACGGGAGGCAAGTTATTATTTCCCTTATGCCGAACATGTGCAGAACAACAGGACTCTAAACATCGATGTCAACACACAGACCAGGAACGCAGTCTCACAGGTACCTGGGTGACGACCGAATTACACAAAGCCTTGGACATGGGGTATACTTTAGAGCAGATTTACGAAGTTTGGCATTTTCCAGAAAGCAGTACAGATTTATTCAGACCTTACATCGATACTTTTTTAAAGATCAAACAAGAAGCTTCTGGATTTCCACCCGAGTGTCAGACGGAAGAACAGCAACTAAATTACATTCATCAATTCTTAGAAAAAGAAGGAATTAGAATGGACCGGTTAAGTATCGAAAAAAATCCAGTGCGAAGAACGATAGCCAAACTCTTTTTAAATTGTCTGTGGGGAAAATTTGCTCAACGTCTGTTATTACCGAAAACGAAATACTTGGATGAAGAAGAGGAATTACAAGAACTCTTACAAGATTTGACCATTGACATCAAAGGGATCCAACTCTTAGAAAATAAAGAGAAGGCGGAATTAGACATGATGTTAAGTGAATTATCAAAAGAAACAGGAATTTGTAGAAGAATGTCCCTTTGGAAATGTAATACTGGCCTGTTTTACTACCGCTTATGCTCGATTACATCTCTACGAGACTTTACAACCTTTAGGAAATCGGGTCCTTTATTTCGATACGGATAGTATCGTGTACCAACATAAGGAAGGACAATTCAATCCGACCCTTGGCAATAGTTTAGGAGAATGGACCGATGAATTGGACGGGGATCACATCATTAAATTCATGTCAGGAGGTCCCAAAAATTATGCTTACCTTACTGCCAAAGGAAAATCCATCCTTAAAGTGAAAGGATTAACTCTCAATTTTCGGGCCTCCAATATCGTGTCACCAGAGACATTAGAAAAAATGCTCAAGAAAGAAATGGATGAAGTCACAGTGTCTTATCCTTATAAAATACAGAGGACCCGAGATCATCAAGTCAAGACAGTACCTTTAGATAAAAAGTATAGAATTGTCTATGACAAGAGACAGATCTTGAAAGATTATAACACGATACCTTATGGTTATTAAAAAAATGTGTTTATGAATTAAATGACTGTATTTCATATGTGTGTTTGTTATTAACTATAAATAAAGCATTGAATCTACCTTGGTCTTCATTTGTCATCATGCAACCTGAGGAGACACCTCTTCCCTCTTTTCAATTAAAACATGAATTTACCATGGTGGTAGCAGGACCTTCTAAATCAGGCAAAACGGAATTTGTCAAGAAATTAATAGAGAATTTACATTGGATTACCCCCCTTCCACAAAAAATTGTGTGGTGTTATCGGGAATGGCAACCTGCTTACACTTCTTTAAGAGATCGGGTGTCTTTCATTCGAAATATTCCCCAAGACGATGAGAAATTAGTGGCTAATTTAAATATACCACACTAAGTCATTTTTGACGACATGATGGGAGGAAAAGCCATTGAATCGATCGTGGATTGGTTTACCCGTAAAGCTCATCATCGGAATACCACTGTGATTTACATCACTCAGAATTTATTTGATAGGGCAGCATCACATCGCACCATTAGTTTGAATGCTCATTATTTAGTCTTGTTTAAAAATCCCCGAGACAAATCTCAAATCAGTGTCTTGAGTCGTCAGTTAGCTCTACCTCATTTGATGTCCGCTTATCAAGAAGCTACCAATGTTCCTCATGGGTATCTCCTGGTGGATTTAAGTCCACACACCCCAGATGAATACAGATTGAGAAGTCGATTGTTTGAATGGTTGACTATACACATCCCCCAAGAGTATAAATAAAAATGTATCACCCTCACACTTGTCATTTATCATTCAACTTTCATCATGGCACCATCAGCCAAGAGTAAATTAGTGAAAACTTTAAGACGTTTACAGCGGGAAAAAGATCCTGTCAAGCGAGCTCATTTAATCGAATTAGGGCGTAAAGCCTTATTGAATTGGTTTGCTATGGGAGCTCGAAATTTAATGAAAGGGGTATTACCCATTAATAAACAGACACAGCGATTTATTGATCATCATCGTCAAGATTTAAGTATCATAGCCGATAAGTCGGCGAGTGATCAAGACAGAAAAAATGCCATTTTAAAACGTGGCGGAGCAGGATTTTTAGGAGGAGTCATCATTCGTCATTTATTTAAATGGAATACCCCTAAAAACGACGTGCTCGTCGTTTGAAAAGTGTGGTGGTAAGAGTCCAGAACAAAAAGACAAAAAAGAGAGTTTTACCAAATTGGATGGTTCGACTAGGTGGGGGGCCAAACAATAAGAAAAAACCTACTCAAAAGAAGAAGAAAAGAAAAAATCCAAAAACTCCAGGTCCACCCAAAACTCCAGCTCAACGTAAAGCTATGCCTGAAAGGCTAAGAAATGAAATTAATCAGTATTATAAAGAACAAAGACAAAAAACTATTGGAGAGTTATTAAAGAAACAAGCTGAAATGAGAATGGATCGTGCTATGGCACCCATAGGCAGTCAAAGAGCCCCGGATTTATTTCCTCAAGTCAATGTAGGAATTCCTTCTCCTGGAATTAAAGTACCCATACAGACTCCTAAAATAGCCCGCTTTCAACCTTTGTCTGTTTCTACACCTAAACTTCCAAAAGGAATGAGATATAAATGCCGATATTGTTCCAAAATCTATGTCACCGAAAAAAATAGAGATAAACATGAGAAAGATAAACATGGCATGTATGCTCCTCCTCCTCCTTAAAGAGTATAAAAGGAGGACACACTGAAGGACACCTCTTCATTATTTGAAAAGGATGGCTAAGAAGAAGAAGAAGACTTGTTGTTCTACAAGATTAAAATCTCATGGGCCTCTTTTAAGAGTGTTATTTAATCCTCATTATTCTTCACCCTTAAAGACAAGTATTTTAAAACATTGTTCTGGAGATTGTATTCTGAAGATTTGTGAGATTGTCTACAACCTATTAAAAGGAGTGTTACCTCTCAGTTCGGTTCAGAAACGAAAACTAGCTGGAAAGAAACACATCTTAAGGAGACTAGTTCAACCTCAATCCATTCAGAAACGACGAGCTTTGTTAGTCCAGCAAAAAGGAGGCCTCTTCCCTCTTTTACTCGCTCCTTTACTTATAGGAGCAGCATCTCTCCTAGGGAAAAAATGAGTCGTAAAATGGTATTAGTTCCTGAAGTCTTATTGAATGAACTTAAAGGAAAATTACCGAAACCTCCCGAATTTCAATCTACTATCAGTTTAGGTCAGGAATTAGAGGACATTACAAGACGTGAAGATTTAACCCCAGAAGAAAAAGTCGCTTTATATGGTCAAGAACATCGCTATAGAAATTATTTAGAAAAAGCTAGACAACAACCTACAAAAACTCGATTAGCTCAACCATCAGTTCAACCAGCAGCAGCAGCAGGAGCACCCCCAGCAGGAGCACCAGTACCCCCATCCCCTGCAGAAGCAACAGCAGGATCACCATCAGCCCCAGCTGAGATTGAAGATGAAATCCTTGAAACAGTAAATAAAAACATGAAAAAAAAGCTGGATTATTATTAAATCATTTAAAGAAAAACCCTAAAGGTTGACTTGGAATAAAGAAGGTGAAATTAGTTATCGAGGTCAAAAAGTTGCCGATTCTAACATTGTGGATTTAATGGCGGATAGTATGAGATCTCATACTTTGAAAAATCATCCGGTTCCTACAGGATTAGAAGAATTTGCTCAAGCTTTAAAAGAGACCCGTACTCCTCTGGAATACCTGAGTAATGGAAACCTTATAAAAGCCATGCAGAAACCTGGAAAAATCAGTACTCCTAAAAGTGACGAAAGAGATGATAGTGGATTTTCTTCCTTTTTGGACACTCCAGTGAGTAGTCCTATAGAAGATCCAGGAACCGTCATTAAAAAACCCATTTCAACCCCTGTAAGGAGAGGGATAGGATCCAGATATAGTCCTTTAGCTCGACAGAAATTAAAAAACAAACTCGAAGAAGAAAAGAAATTAGCAAAAATTGAAGAAAATTGGCTTCCTTTACCTAAGAAGAAATGAAAAAGAAACAAGTGGAAGATATTTTAAAAGAGATTTATTATGATCCTAAAAGAGGGTACGGAGGAATACAAGCTTTGTATCGTCAGGTCAAACCTTTAGGAATTTCCCTGAAAAAGATTCGAGACTGGTTAAAAGAACAAGATACTTATACTTTACATAAACCCATTCAAAGAAAATTCCGCAGACAACAAACTAGAGTGACAGACATAGATGAACAATGGCAATTAGATTTAGCAGATGTGTCCAGTTTAAAGAAATATAATGATGGATATACTTTTTTATTGTGTGCCATTGACGTCTTATCTAAATATGCCTGGGTAGTGCCTTTAAAACACAAAACAGGAAAAGAAATGATTCGAGGATTACAAGAGATTTTTCAACAAGACGGACGACGTCCCATCCGCATTCAATCCGATCAAGGCAAAGAATTTACCAATAAAGAATTCTTACACACTTTTAAATCCATTCATTTTTTTACCACTCGTAATACGGACACTAAAGCCAGTATTGTGGAACGATTTCAGAGAACCCTCAGAGCACGCATGTGGCGTTATTTCACTCGTCATAAAACCAGACGATATGTAGACGTCTTACCGGATTTAGTATATGCTTACAATCATTCTTATCATCGAAGTATTAAAGAATGGCCCCAGCTCAAGTGAATGCTTCTAATGTATTGAAAGTCTGGAAAACTTTATATGGGGAAAAATCTCAAACATTCCCTAAAAAACCTCAATTTAAACAAGGAGATCGGGTCCGCATTAGTAAAGCCAAACGCACTTTTGAAAAAGGATATTTACCAAATTGGACTACAGAATTGTTTACCATTTCTAAAAGAGTGGCTGGAAGATATCCTTATGTGTATAAAATCCAAGATGATCATGGTGAGGAATTAGAAGGCACTTTTTACGAAAAAGAATTCAAAAGATTATTAAAAAAGATGATGTGTACGAAGTAGAAGAAATCTTGGGGTATAAAAAGCGACGTGTAGGGAAAAAAATCATTCAAGAAGTCAAAGTGCGGTGGAAAGGATATCCTCCTAGTTTCGATTCATGGATTCCCCAAACGGATCTCATTCAATAACTCCTCATTGGAAATTTTGTGGAGAGAATGTGCCTCGAGAAGAAATTGTTTATTTTGCACAATTATTCATTTGTTATTATTCATCATTACCAGTGTGGTCATGTTAGCTTTACATGATAGTAATCGAGAATATTGGATGGTCTGTGTTAGTTCTTCCGTAGGTTATATTATGCCTAGTCCTACGATAATACATCATACCCCTAAGAAGACTACAAATACACAAACAGTAACCTAGTATTGAATGTTTGTTATTGTTATGAATAAATATGTTTGTTGTTGTTTGTTCTTGTTATGAATAAAAATTATAGAAACACAAATCTCTTATTCTTTTTCTTTCTATCACATCACAATGAGTATGACGTCACAATGAGTAGCTTGACTTAGCCAAAAAAAAAGTTTTTTTTACAGGTGTTTTTTAAGAATCAGATCTCGTGCTCTAATTATAGTAACAAAAAAGGTCTAAAATTAGTATCCTTCTTCTTCTGCAGGTGTTTTAAGAATTAGATCTCGTGCTAAGTATATTTACTAAAAATAGATACACAAAGGGTATAAATAAAGGGATATTTTGTTAAAAAAAACCAAACCCCTGTCATTCTTTAAGAGAGAGCATAACAATAGTTAGGGATGGAGTATCGTTGGTCCTGTGAGAGTTTATTTGGATGTATTGACAAGGAGGGATCCTGGATGAAAACTAAAGTAGGAGCGATCCTGGATTTCTTTGTAACCCATCCAGGACATTCTATTCATGATGTGTGGATGGAAAAAAGAGTGAAATTCTTACATCCTAAAGCTTCTAAAGTGAGGGTGAGAATGAAGGACTGCTATTATGAATACAAATGGGCGATCACAGGTTATGGTAATCTTCAGACTCCCTTTGTTCTGGAAGAAAGTAACTGGTGGTGGAATTTAGAAGACTGTCTTCGTGATTTATTCCACCGGAAGCAGAAAAAAGATGGACTGGGGATTCCAACCCATTACGGTCGTATAAACTACCTGTACTGTCGCATTCCCTTTTCAAAGATTAAAGACCAGATGGAAAAGGAAGACGAAGATGAGGTGTTTCAAAAAGTGATTTCCATGTCAGAAGATGTGTAAATATATCCAAATAAAAAAAATTGTTTAACACAAAAAGAAAAATTGTTTTTATAAATAGAAAGGTCAGAAGTAAATTTGTCTCAGTCTCTTACTGAACATGGCTGAGAGCAGTGGTTTTTACATGACATTACCCAGTGATAGCTCCATGCAATCTTTTCCGGGGAATACGACCGCTCAATTTAAAACTTTATTACCACAATCTGTGGATTTAACGGATGGTCAATGGGAAGTAGCATTAACCGAAATGATCTTTCTTTGCAGTATAGAAAATATAAGTCAGGATGAATCTTATATCGAAGTGTGTATAGTGGAAAAAGTTCCACCTTTTTTTAAAGGCGTTTCACCCTCAGAGAAACTGGATCTCGAGGACCCCGATAAGTACCAGTGGGGACGGTTTCAATTATTGAAAAGTACTCCCATCACTTTTCAACAAACCCAGCTTTTAGTAGATTGGAGGAAAGCTTATTGGTTAATTGGTACTGATGATCCTAGAGAGAAATTGAATTTGTATCGACTTCGATTTAGACCGGGACCTTATCCCAACCCTACAGCTATCCTGGCAGAAATCAATGAAGGTTTAGTACAGACCATGAAAAAAATCTGGAAAAAGTATCACAAATGGACCGAGAAAAAAAACCCCACAGATCAAGGAAGTGCGATGGTGGTGGACAGTGATGACGATGATGTGTATGGAAATTTAAAACAAAGCTTAAAGACAGTGATACAAGACTTGGAAGAAGAAGAAGAAGAAAAACCCTCAAAAATTGAAATGAAATTTAATTATCGGAAGGATTTCAATCGAGTGAATTATGTCACTCATTTACGTCAAATTCCCATCTTTGTACGTCTTCCCTTAAGTCTGGCTTATAAATTAGGATTTCATGATTCTAAATTAGTCCCGGAAAATTGGACAGAAGACACGACCAAATGGATTAACATCAGTTATCTGGCTCCAGACACTGTAGATTTATATCGAAATTTAAAATCCATGTATGTGTATTGATCTGATTCAACCCCAGACCGTAGGATCGAATGCCTTGAAATTACTAAGAGTGGTCCCTTGTCAATTTGAACACAAAGACAATCAATGTAAATGGGAACCCATACGTACGGAATATCTCCCTTTGAGTAAAAAACATTTTGATACCATTGAGATACACATCATGACACCTTTAGGAAAACCCATGCCCTTTTTAAGTGGAAAAACTCTAGTCAAACTTCATTTTAGAAAAGTGTACTGAGATGAGTGTACAGCTTTTTTGTTACATCCTATTGGGAGTCATGGTTTGTCTGGTATGCTGTCTATATTGTATTCAGCCCTAAAAAGGGGTATAAAAGGAAGTCCTCAGAGTGCAGAAAAGTCAGTTTTTAAGAACAGTTATCACCATGCAGTATCATCCAGGAATATTAAGACAGAGAGGACACGGGCTTGGTCTTTTAGCTCCGGTGTTAAAATTAGCAGCTCCAGTAGTCAGTAATCTATTAGGTGGAATATTAGGAGGGGGTCAACAGCAACCACCCCCACCACCACCACCACCAGCTTATTATTATCCACCCCCAAAAAACTATCAAAGAGGGGAAGGATTTTTTACGGATTTACTGAAAACGGGAGCTAAACATGCCTTGACCGCTGCTGCTAGAACGGGGTTAGATGTGCTAGAAAATAAGAGATCTTTAAAAGACGCTATCAAAACTCACGGAATACAAGCCCTGAAAAATACGTCGGGAATGGTGAAACAAAAAATGAATCTAGGAGATAGTAAGAAAAGAAAACAGACAGAAAGAGTTCTGTTGGCTAGAGGAGGTCCTAAGAGAAAAAGAAATCAAGGAGACAATATTCCCAAGAAGAAAACACGGTCTTTAGATGTCTTTGACTGAGAGACTATAAATAGAGGAGTGTGAGGGAGAAGAGTTTCATTTGTGAAAAATCAATCTTAGTAGACAGACATCATGTTACAACCCGATTCCTGTGCCTGTGGGATGGACAATTTACAATTGTTCCAAGTCCCTCCCACTAATATTGCTTTAGAAAACTCCAAATGGGAAGAATATTACCCTATTTCTAGTACTTTAGATTCAGAGACAGCTCCGATCGAATTTGAAATTAAAGGACAAGGAGATCAATATCTAGATTTATCTCAAACTTATCTTCAAATGGTATGTCAATTTGTCCAAAATGATGGAAGTGATCTGGCTGGAGATCCTGCTAAAACAGCCCCAGTGAATAATATCTCACATTCCTTGTTTACGGAAATTGATGTTAGTCTCAATGGAAAAATAATAACTCCAGGGACCGATACTTATCCTTACAAAGCTTATCTGGAGAAATTACTGTCTTACAAACCCAGAACTTTAGCCACACAAATGAAAGCCTGTAGTCTATGGGAAAAAGATACGGCAGGACACATGGACGAAAGAGGGCTAGCAGCTCTGGGAGTGGCTGCTAATCAGGCCTTTGCTGTAGCTCATGATAGTTGTACCATTAACAAACCCATCATCCCAGCATACCCAGCCAATTCTAAAAACGAAGGATACAGAAAACGTCATGAAGCTATAGATGCTAGTAAGAAAATTACTTTGTTGGATCGTTTACATCTGGATTTGTTTCAACAAGATCGATTTCTACCGAATGGAGTCGACGTCCGTTTGAGATTTAATCGAGCTAGACCTGATTTCTACATGATGACGGCTCAAGCCAATACGGGAAAAGTCAAAATATTAAGTATGGTCTTGTGGGTGAGAAAAGTGAAACCTTCCCCTACTTTAATGAATCACATCAATCAAACTTTGAATACTCACAGAGCCAAATATCCATTAAGAAGAGTGGAAGTCAAAAGTTTTACCATACCTACAGGAACTCAATCTAAGATTACCGATCATCTGTTTCAAGGCCAGATGCCAAAAAGGCTCATTTTAGGGTTTGTGAAGAATGCGGCTTTTAATGGAGATAAAACTAAAAATCCCTTTAATTTTCAAAATTTTGGGATTAAAAAATTAGATGTTAGTATCAATGGAGAGACCATGATGACTCGTTGTTTCGAACCTAATTTTAATGAAGATTTATATCTGAGATCTTATCTGAGTTTATATCAAGCTTTGGGGAAATTAGGGGAAGATTGGGCTCCGGACATTACCTTAGAAGAGTATAAAAACGGATACACTTTATGGGGCTGGGATTTCACTAAAGATCAAAAAGCCCAATCGGATAAATTCCATCTCATAGTAACAGGAAATTTAAGAGTAGAAGTTCAATTTACTAACAATACGGCTACCACTTTAAATTGTGTGGTGTATGCAGAATTTGATAACCTCTTAGAAATCAACAAACAGAGAGAAGTGAGCATTGATTATTAATGGATACAGGACAGTTGAGAGAAGTGTTATCTAGAGAATTAAAGAGTTCGTTTGGTGGAGTGTATCCTTTAGATTTATTACCAGATCAATTAAAATTTGGAGAAAAAGCCATTGTAGTTAATACAGATCCTCAAGATCAACCTGGAGAACATTGGGTGTGTTTATATGTAAGCAGTCCAGTGGTAGAATATTTTGATTCTTATGGATTTCCTCCCTTACAAAAAGAAATTCAAGATTTTATCCAGCGTCATGGTCATCAATGGATTTATAATCCGTATCGATATCAAGATTGGAATACCGATGTGTGTGGACAATATTGTGTGTATTATTTACATCAAAGACATATGAAGAAAATTAAAGCAGATGAATGGTTATTTCCCTTTGACCATCACACAGCTTTACAAAGAGATCATTATGTAGCTCAATGGTTTAAAGACACTTATCATAAAAGACCTACGGGTCATGGACAAACTTGTCAATGTTTCTATCAAAATGTATTGTAAAAAAAATTGTTATTGTTATTATTATTGTTGTTTGTTTGTTGTTCTCACAAATAAAAAAAAGAAAGGAAAAATATACTTGTTATTCTTTCTAGAGGGACTGATGACATCACAATGAGTAGCCTTTTTTTTTCTTCTAACTGACTTGCTGTTTTATTATAAGTGTTTTATGTGATAAATAAAAATCATTAGGTGTGTGATATGTGTTAATAAATATCTTTCATTAACAAAAAAAAAAAGAGTTCTATCTTCATAAAAAAATGATGATGTGTAAAAAAAAATATTTATTTTTTTTTTTAAATTGAAATATCTTAAAAAATAAGCGTGACCCCTTAGTGTTTTATGAGATGTTTCTTTTATAACCAACTGTGTATCAAAAAGGTATCTTTTCGAATCATTAAAGTGGCCCTTAAAAGGGCCGTTGTGGGTTGGTCCTTAAAAGGACCGTTGTTGTTTTTTTTTTCTCTTCAGGGTTTACTCCCTGGGACGTCGGCCTCGGCCTGTTGCAACCCCATTCTCTCTCCTCTCACTGCGCACCCCAATCTCTCTCCTCTCGGAGAGAGTTCTCCTCGGTGGTGGTGGAGGTGGTGATGTGGGAGGCGCAGGCACAGGGTCTGGCTCCGGGCACCCATAGCGGCACAGGGGACAGCCCTCACCCCGATCTATCAGTCTGGCCGCACACAAATAACAGGCTGGCCTCTGGTGGCATCGGCCGCAGATAAAGTTGCTTTGTTCGTGGTCATAGAGGCACAGGATACAATAGCCCTCGGCTACCGGTGCTTGTATCCCCCACCCGGGGATACACCCCTGAAAGACTGCCCGGTCCTGCTGCGGTGGCGATGGTGGAACCGCGTTCAGCAGGCGGTGGAGGGTTCTGGCTGGTGACGAAGGGGGGGGGGATTCTGGACTGTCTGGCAGGTTGAAGTTCCTACCCTCCTCCTCTGGCCGCGGATGATAAATGACCCCTGGTTCCCTTCTCCCTCGTCCTGGTGTTAGTGGCCTGCTGTAGGGGCTGTGCCTGGATCTGGATCTCAGGGTGGAAAAGTTGTCAAAATCACCGACTCTCACTCTCCCCATGTTAAGGACACCAAACTCTTCCCCAGTTCTCTGGTCCCTCACCACCATCTGCATGATCACTTCAATCCCCGGTTGGATGAAAATGTTCTCATAAAAGATGGAAGCCATCGTAAGTGTCGCTGTAAAATCAGCTAGTAACGAATGACAGTTAACAGCTGATGAGCGTCGGTATTTATACACACAGCGCGACCCGAAAAGAGAGCACCCTAAAAGCCCGGATGAAACAGAGCTCAAAAAATCATGGAGAATTCAAATTTGTGTTATTTTGTGTTTGTGAATACATACATTGGATTAAATAACATATTATGGAATGATATATCCATTCAAACCTTCTAGTGAAAGAACGAAGGTAAGTTTTGAGGATGATTTCACAGTATTATTCATACATGACATTTCTCCGTTGTTTAGAACAGACTCATTCATGTCGAACCGAAGGGCTAACCTTGACTGACCTGAATACCTAAAATGAGGAGTTTTAGACTTTTAAAAGTGCGACACCAAGAAAACTTAATGTCTATCCTAAGATCGAACCTAAGGAAAAGTGTTGATAGGGTTTTTAAATCAAAAGAATTCATACAAGTGTAGAAATAAACTTAGCGTCGGTCTGAACATAAACACAAGGGAGGTCAAAGGTCAGCCATTTTCAGAAAATCACTGTATAGACTTGTATAGAGCCTATAAAATTTTTTTCAATCCTGACCTTTGAAGATGAAAATTTTGAGATGAATAGAATCGGAAACTTGTAAAAATCATTGGTATACACTTTATTTCCAATGAGAAAGTCTAGATTTTTTAATTAAGAACAAAACATCTCAGCGTCTAAAAAAAAGGACACAAGATGGCGTCCTATTTGTATATAGAAATAATAACAATGACGTATTGTTCTTTTATTGCATTATTTCTTGAACAATTGTTTCAAGTATTGAATTCTCCTTTGAATTTTTTTTTTTAATAGATCCGTTATTTTATTTTTCCCTGATCTTCGGGGGGTGGAGGCGATGATGATCTGGTCTGCTCTGGCCTAGCAAATGGGGTCAAAGATCTTCTTGCTTCTGTGTCGGTACTTAGCTGAACTCGCATCATAGGGCATCTCACCAATTCCTCCCCATCAGAAATTCTTCTTACCGCGTAGTAACAGACTAGTTCGATTCCGGGAATCAGAAATAAATCTTCGTGGAATTCCTCAGCCATCGTCTCTGGTCCCTAGTAAATCAGATAGCTAAAGAATGACAGTTAACAGCTGACCAGCGTCGGTATTTATACACAAAGCAGGTCTATCTATTTTTAGACCCAGCCAAGATTAGGTTAACAGGACCCTCTGTGCAGGTGTTTTAAGAATTGGATCTGGTGCTCAATATATATATATATATATATATATATATATATATATATATATATATATATATATATATATATATATATATAGTAACAATTAAGTACAGTAGATTAAGTACACGAGTAGCTGTGCAGGTGTTTTAAGAATCGAATCTCGTGCTCAATATATATTATTATAGTAACAAAAAAAAAGGTAAAAAAAAAAATACTAAACTTGAATGGATGCCAAGATTACGTACATGAGCACCTGTGCAGGTGTTCTAAGAATCTCATCTCGTGCTTTGCAAGAGACCCTTAAGTAAAAAAAAGGTATATAAACTCAAGAGTGGAGTCAGTTAGAGTATCAGTCTTTTTCAGTGAATACTTTTTTTTTGGCAGAGAGAATAGATATAGGATACACAAGTCAATGATGATGAATCTTAATGATGTTTCAGAGCAGAATCTTCCAGAAGTGATCAGCATGGAAGATTTTGAATGGATGCTAAATGAGATTAAAGATCCCATTGGAATGGAAGTACATTCCTGAACCCATCACCAAAGAAGATATTTCATCTGAGATTATTCCAGAATTGATGAGCAGAGAAGATTTTGAATGGATAGTCAATGATGTTAAAGATTCTATTGGATTGGATTTAGCGGTCTACCTCATTCCTGAACCCAAAGAAGAAGAGATGAGGAAAAAAGGTATGTAAAACACATAACATACCATCTGTCTTTGAATTAGTATTTTTTTTTTAAAACAGGCAAACATAGGATACATGCAATGATGAATCTTCGTGATGTTTTTTTTCAGATGAGAATCTTCCAGAATTAATCAGCAAAGAAGATATGGAATGGATTTTCACTTTTGTCCTTTAGATCTTTTTCTTTTGGATTTTCGCTTTCAGTTTGTCATTTATATCACTATTCTGAAGTTTTCTTTTGTTACTCACTGTGTTAAGAGTCTTTTCTACATCATATAACATCACAAAAGGAGTCCTTTTTAGTTCCTCAGTCTTTTTTTGTTTCTGGGTCTTTTTGTCCTGAGTTTTCACTAAGTGTTGATCCTCTATACACTCATTTTTGAGGGGTGATGAGTCTTTTCTTGTCTGGTAAGAACGGTTTTTCATGTTCTTTTCCATCATGGTGACTTGCCCTTCTAATTTGGATAATCTTTCTTGTATTAAACACATGGGGGTGTCCTTAGTTGTTTTGAAATCCTCCAGTAAATTAGCAATGTCATTCATTTGACTCCTCAGGATCCTCATATCTGTTTTGGTCATGGGTTCTGGAATGTGATACATGTCCAAATCCAATTCAATGGGATCTTCTTCCCATCATGGATACTTTCTTATGAATTAGTGCTTTTGATTATTAGTGTTTTCATGAATCATCTATAAATATTTGAAAAAATCCTTTTTGTTTGTTTTTTGGGTTTTTTTATACACTCTAGTGGGTGTGGTTTTTTCAGAAAAAAAGGTGGTAAATGATGTCATAATAGACCTTCAATCCAGATTCTGTATGACTTAACCATTATAGTAAGAGCTGTTTAAAAAAAAAACCTATCAAAGGCTGAGGGTCTATTTTTAGAATGAATTCTGGGTCTATTTTTAGATCCCCAGGTGTAGCTATTTTTAGACCCATCCCTGGTCGATTTTTAGAACTCTGCGGGGGAAAAAAAGTGCACTCGACACACCCATCCAGGTCTATTTTTAGACCCATCCCAGGTCTATTTTTAGAACTCTGGGAGGGGAAAAAAAGTGCACTCAGTTGACCCCCCCAGCTAGGCCCGCTCTAACTACTCCCCTCCAAAATAAAAATACATAACTGTGCCCCTTCCCCAAACTGAAATTAATTCCTACTGACCTGTTAAAAAAATTAAAAAGGATTTTTTTCCGGTGTCGTCCACAAAGCGACTATTGATAAGACTACATGATAAGCATAATTTAAACGAGGACCGTTTGGAATACGATTGTTAATCACATAATTATCCCCACACAACGGAGTTGGAGGGGGTATATTGACGCAACCGTGTGTGTGTTTGCTTTTTGGTGAGTGGGTTAATCCTGTGCGAAACGGAAGTAATTTGCATCGGGATCAAATGCTGCC